ATTCCCCCTTAGTCTTCTTCTTAGGTACCGGCTTCGATTTTTTCGCTGCCCAAGGACTTTTCTCTTCCTTGCTTCATGACCTCAATAAGGAGTGATAGGTAGCATGGAAGAGCGAATTAATTCGAGAACACAACTGCAAAACAAGAAAATGCTAATGAGGCCCTTGTAATAAGAGCTATCGGAGGAAGCCGTTTCGCGCAAATGACACCTAACTGTTTTATTAACTTTTATTTAAAAAAACCTTTTTTTTTCTAAATAACTCGCGCGCGTTTTAAGATTTTACTTTCATTTTTTTGGGAATGTTAGATTTTCTAGCGACCTTTTTGTTTTGCTTAAAAAGAAAAAACCACACTCTCAAGGTATTGTGTAACCTGAACCTAAAAACTGTTAGGCTGAACAGTTTCAAAATGAAACTCGTTTATGCCCCCTTCTCTCGAGTCGTTTCAGTAATTGTGACTACGAGAATGAATTAAGCCAACATTCGAGCTATGTATGCCGAAGCACTTAAAACAGAGACGGCAACCTGATGGGATAATAATTTATGACACTTAAAATTGATAATAATTAATTACATCATAATGTTAATAATCATTCGTCATACCAACAATTTGAAAGCAAGTTAACTTATATCTAGCAAAGATGAGGGCCACTAAAAAGGCAGCATAATAAAAGAGGGACACAAGGCTATCGGTGAAACAATGGGTGGAGGTGGGTTGATTACTTGACCGATTTCAAGTTTGAGTCTTATAGACTAAGAGGCCCGGGTGGGGATTCCCAGAAAAGTTGGGTGGTGGTGTGTGGCCCGCTTCAAAACCCTTACCCTATTTATGACCAAAATCTGCGATTTTTGCTACCCTATTTATGACCTGGCTAAAAACTCGATACCCTATTTATGACTGTTGCGGCTGGCACAGTTGATCTAAACTGATTAGTTATCAAGGGCTTTTGTTGACGGTCTTATTGATAATGGTGAAAAAGTAGCTACTTCCAAGAAACATACCCAATTCAAGACTTAAGTGCTAAAACCATACCCTATTTAAGACCAAAATGGCCAAATCGATCCCCTTTTTATGACCAAAACGGCTGAAAAACCCTACCCTTTGAGGCCGCACATACCTATATAGCCCATGTCATATACCCAAGCGCGAAGCGCGCGGGCTAAAAATCGAGGGAAAAAAACGAGAATCCATAACTTACAGTACGAACCGAGAAAACGAGGTTAGTCAGATATTTATTTTATCTCTACTGTGTCTGACGGTTTCGGGAACGATCTCCAATCACGCAGAACGGTTTCAAACTTCTGACGCACCTCGAAATCAAAACGAGTCAATTTGAAATCGTTGTTAAGCGACTCTTAAGTCGTTAGCAGGTTTTTGTACACAGTTTCTGAAGTAAAAGAAAGTTTTAAACTTTCACTAACTAAAAAAAGTTAGGAACACTTAGCGATAAATCGCGAAACATTTTGTGAACAAAAACAGCTTTAAATTTTAGCGGGGCGCTAAACTGACCAATCACAGCGCGCGTACTAACTGCGAAATATAATAATTGTTAAATGTAACGTAACGCGTAATGTTACAATACAAAAAATTTATTACCAACCTGAAAATCAAACGATCACTGAGTCATAATCATTCGATGTGTTTCCTAAACAAACAGTGTCGCCTTGATGGAGAGAAATACCAAAAATAATGTTTTTTCAGAGAATGGGCGTCGAGAGTAAAATAAAATGTTTAGATTGGAGAAAGGCTATGAGGTGTTTGTTCCGTTGTTTTTACGTGTCTTAAGGTGGCTCAAAACAGTTTCCTGCTCTTTCCAAGACTTACATTTTGATGATCCATTATAATCACTCTTTATCTGTTCATGCTAAAATCGTGGTATCAAAACAAAGTGCCCAATCATTGGTGTAGTTCGGCGCCATGTACATATTTTGTCAAACTTTGCCCAAAGTTGCACCTCATCCTGTTTATGAAAATTCGATAATAAAACGGGTTTCACCGTGCCGTTTTTAAAGCGTAAGTACTGAAAGCTAATCTTAAGATTATTTTTTGCACTTCATTCTGTTGCTTTGGTAAACTATCGAGTCACGAAAATGATAACAGCATGTTCACCAATGATTTGGCAGTTTTTTGATACCATGATTTTGGAACAATTGATAAAGAGTGGTTACAATAACTCATCAAAGTCTAAGTCTTGGAAAGTTCTGGAAACTGTTATGAGCCGCCTTAAATGCTCGTTTTTGGTATTTCTCAACTTCAAGGCAACGCTGAAAACTGGAGTAAGAATTCTGAGCAGAAATGTATCTTTCAAATCTTTACTCGGCTCCCCGTGGGATATTAGTTAATAAGTGAAAGTTTTTTACTTAACACATACAGTCAGTTACGCATTTTAGGTTAACATGTTTCCTCCAATAACACTTCTATGTACTCCACTATATAAACATACATACAACCCACAATTCCTCATTTTGCTTTGGCGTAAGTCGACTGACGCTCTTAACGTCATCAGCTTCATAAATTCGCAGTCACTCATTAGTATTCAGTCGAATTATACTACTGCTTTTATGAAATCTGTATTTAAGAAAATCAGTATAGCGCGACTTTCTTGGAAAATGTATCTTTAACAACTAAAGAAAATCCGCTTTGAAGTTCACTTCAGTTGTCTGTCTGTCTGTCTGTCCGTCTGTCTGTCTGTGGTCTGTCCGCTGTCTGTACTTGAACCGTCTGTCACTCATTTTCAACAATCTTGCGCAATTTTTACGATGCAGTATTTACGTTTTACATTCCACGTTTGGTAAGAAAAGTACGGATTCCATTAATGTTCCAAATTTTCACTATGAATAGCAGATTTCTTTCTCGTTTGAAATGATGCAAAGTTCCCGACTTGGTGTCGCACAATATTCTT